TTTCATCTGTAAGAAAATATTTTCTTGTTCTTTTTTTTTTTTCTAACTAAATGTAAATATAACGATAGGTACAGTTACTTAAGTAATACGATAAATATGTAATTTTTTCAATAACATGATATGAAACATTTATTGACGATTTATATTATCAACGAAAAAATTCATTTACGGATTGAAAGTAAATTTCTCTTTTTTTTTTTCTCTACCCTCAGTCTTTTCTTTTCTTCTTTATTCGGTCGAACGATTTTAAGAATTAAAAAAGCTAATTTCATTTAACGAGAATGAAATCACTGTGAAGTTTATGCGAGCCAAGCGAGAAATCACAGAGTATTATGTGAGATAGCTGACGTTAAAAAAAGAAAAAAAAAGAGAAAGAGAGAGAAAGAGAGAGAGAGAGAGAGGAGCAAGATTGTATAAGGGATGGAACGAAATGAAATTTTAAACGAGGTGAGATACGCGCATAGAAGTGAATCTTAAATATTAACGAAAATTATATTTTCATTAAAGGCTTTACCCGGTTGTTTAAACCATCGATGTCCACGTAGGAACGTTGAAAAGATTATTTAAAACATTATTATTAATATAATAATATTTTATTATAAACATTACATTAACCTGTTAACCGGGCGGAACGTATAAATACGTCAAACGTATTGCCTTAAAGCTGAAGGTACAAACCTCTCTTTGTACTTTATATATAAATAAACGAAAAAATATATATTTCATAATCTTTTAATTTATTTTTTAAGTCTAAATAATAATTAATAATAAATAATAAATAAATAATAAAAAAAAGTTGCGTAATTAAAAAGGGAATTCCCCGGTTAATATGTTAATATTAAAATAAATTATCTTACAATGTAAATAATAAAATCACTTATTGTAATTAATTATAAATAAAAATAATTCTAAATTGAAATTCTTTATTAAAGCTGATATATTATAAATTTAATTATATTAAATTTAACTTGTGTGTATTAAATTTAATATAATAATAAAATATAAATTAAATTATTTAAATTAATTATTTAAAATATTATAAAGTTATAAAGTTAAAATGTTAAAAAGAAATTATAAAGTAATTATTACAATTAAATAATTTAATATAATTAATATATATATTATTTAATAATATTATTAATTATTATTATTCATATAGTTTAAATAATAATATTAATATTAATTAACTATTAATTCATTTTAATCTAAATGTATTTTACTTTCTTTATTTTTTTTTTTTTTTTGAACTCATTTTCTCGCCCTACTGTTACGAGATTTTTGTAAAAAGTTGTGAAAAAAAAACCCCCAAAAAATATATCTCGACATTGGATATTTATTTACGTTTGTTGTAACATATTTTTTTTTTTTTTTGAAAAGAGAAGAACGTTAAACGGTGTGAAAAATCTTATCATCTTTTAGGGATTTTAAGGGATGCGTCGGAGTGCCAATTTGTTTTGACAAGATGATAGGAAAACATTAGTTGGGTTTAGGAGGGTAAGTGTCATAAATGCCAAGTTCGTAAAAGTTACACGTCCCTTTTATTCTAACAAGATATGGTAGAACGTAGGGTTCGACCTTTATTAAACTCGTCCGAGAAACATTGAAATTGAATAAAATGAAGTGGGGGATGAGAACGGTTCCTATCTCTCGACTGTCATTTATTACATACGTCACTTCCGTGTTTTAGAATGACATCTGTCAATAGTAACTAAAGGAACTTCAACAATAACTAAGGGAAGTGTGATATGATGAAAGACATGTTTAAGTTTTCAGGGACGTGCGTTATGTTCTATCCTTCGTCCTTCATTTTTTTTTTTTAAATTAATTTCTTCAAATCGATATTACAAATCGATAGTTTACAAAGAGACGTACTATTTCGTACTATGTTTGATTTATAAATGAAAAACAATAGCTCTTTGCTTTTTATTTTTATTTAAATCACGAATATAATTATTAAAATAAATGGTAGTATATATATATATTTTATTCTCAAATAATGGTATGCACTAAGTGGTTCAAATTTTGTCCCATAGTATATTATATGTACATATAAAACTTTTAACACACTTTTCAGACGATTTTAATAAGTTTTTTTCTCACAAGTTTATGTCGAATTACGACGGGTCCAGGTATGAAAACCATTTTTATTTAGGACGCGCACTAAATGTGAATAAAAAACTTACTTAAACTCGAGGCTTTTTTATTCCAAAAAAAAAAAAAAAAAGAAAAACAAAACAAACATTTCTTTTTACTATGATCACTATTTTTCTAGTCGTGAACGTTTTTAATTACGTATTATAATATTTAGAAATATTTTTTTAAATTTATTTTTATGTTTAATATTATAATTATACATACACTTATACGCACATAATTGATTTTATTAGATTTTGTAATGTTATAAATAATTTATATTAATTTATTGTTGTTAATGTTAAAAATAATTTCTATTAATTTATTGTGTGGTTAATCTTAAAAATAATTTATATTAATTTATTGTTGTTAATATTTAAAATAATTTATATTAATTTATTGTTGTTAATATTATAAAAAATTTCTATTAATTTGTTAATAATTATTAAATAAAAAGAAATCTCTTAATTATAAATAAGATATTTATAATTATAATAAATATAATAANTGTTAATAATTATTAAATAAAAAGAAATCTCTTAATTATAAATAAGATATTTATAATTATAATAAATATAATAAAATATTTACTAATTTAATAAATATTATAATAATTATAATAAAATATTTTATCATTATATTATAATTATAAATAAAATATTAAATTAAATGTAATAAAAATAAATTATTATAATAATTTTTTTTATTATATTTAAAATAAATTATAATATTTTAATTTGATACACATAAAGGAAAATATTTCACATAAATTTGTTTTATTATCGATCAATTTGAATTATTCTTTCTCTTCGAAACGAAAAGTAGAAACGAGCGAACGTATTCGTGTTTTTAGCTCATATTTCGTTCTAGACGAATGTTGGTAATTTCATATTACAAGGATTAAGAGGAAAATGCGTGTATGTAGATATATACACATATGAATATATACGTTCATAACGTATTTGAGGTAGGACCACTTATCCCGTTAAGATTTATTACTATCGGTTCGTTAAATTTACGGTACAACGGTTATGCGATGTAACATCTTGCCTTATACCATGCTCGTAAATTTACAAAATCACGAACAAGACATAATTCGTTTGAAATTATTTCCTGAGACTAGATTAAAAAAACTAATTATATATATATATATATTTCCAATGTTAATTATTTAATAATATATTATATAATTATTTGTGTAATTATTATAAAATTGTATAATTTGTATAATTATTATAATAGTATAATTATTATATTACATTATAAAATAATTATATTAAATTATTTTTTTATTATTTTTTTTATTATTTGTATAATTATATTATATGAAATATATAAATATAAATAAATATATATATAAATTTACTGTTTCATAATAAAATTCATAAATTTATATATGAGTCATTCAATTAAGAAATCGTTGTGAAGTGTAATTATTAGGAAAAATTTTATTTGACATTTTAAAAGTTAATTAACGATCGAGTTAAGTTTTATAATAAAAATTGTAAAAAAAATACTTGGAATAATCGAATTAATCGTTTTGACCTTAAAACACACCACTCGTATATAATCAATTCCTCATTATCTCTTTGTTTTTTTTTGTTAGGCCAATTAAAATTTCCAAATACACATTCGAAAACTATGAAACAAGAGCAATTAACTAACGAGGTTTTGAATTAAATCAATTTGTTCCTTGAATTGATAATTCACGTGCACGTTCTTCATGCTCACGCTATGTACAGAAGTTACGTGTAAATCGTATTTACTTATAATCCTAGTCATGAACAGTTCAAATCTACATATGCGTATAATACACGTGCATATGTGTACGTATAAATATACATATATATATATGAATGCATGAATTGCTGGCAAGTGACGGACCTTAAACTATACTTCACGAAGTTCACGAGTATCGTTTAACGTGAAAACCACGGATATCTATTTGTGGTCTATGAGTATAAGTTAAATAGTAAAGTATCTCGCCAAGATCTCAACGTTATCTCATCTTTTTATGTCTATGATAAAGAAAAACTTGGAACGTAACTATTTGCCTACCAACCATTTTATCTATCGAGTTTATCAAATTTATCGTTTACAATGAAAATAAAAATGTAAATGATTTTATGAAATCAAAGAAAAAAGTAAATAAAAAAAAAACAGCAAGAAATTGTGTGAAATTAAAATAAAAAAAATAAATAAATAAATAAAAGAACAAGAACAAAATAAAGAAAAGAAACCAAGTCAAACAAAAACCAATGAAACAAAATTTGCCATAATAATTTTGAAAGTTAAAATAAAAGGCCTATTATATTATATATTAAGTACCCTATTCATGATATTTAATGAACATTGAATTCCCATTGCAATGAATGGGGTTTTTGGAAAAGTCAGGATAGATCCAACACTGACCTGCCTCACAGAGTAAGCTAACCGAACCTTAAACGAAAGGGAAGCTAATCGAGAGACGTTCACCCTAAGTTGCCTCCTCGTTCCTTTGCGCGTACACAGAAACGAAAATGCTCGCAAGTACGCCCTCTCATCTGGCATTTGGAGGTAGAAGGGAGCGGTATAGTTGAAAGAGAGAGAGAGGGGATGGTGAAGTGGTTGGAAAAAGAGAAACAACACATACTTTCTACATTCATATGATAGAAAGGGAAGGGAGACATACATACATATACATAAGTGTATACTAAACGATAGTTAGAGAGAAAGAGAATGAAACATATACACCCCCACACTCATACATAGGAATACTCTGAATGATAAAACGATAGAAAGAGACAGGGAGAGTGTGTGTGAGAAAGGGGTGGGAAGACTCTGATCGCGAGCCTGCGCCGTGGTGTATCAATCGAGAAGGGTGGTAAGGAAGGTGGTGGCGCGGGGAAGGGCGCGTGGCGGCACCGGGGGTGTCAGTCACGGCCCATCTGTCCAGCATCGAACACGTAAGTCCTGAAAGCGGTGTTTATCCATTTATTCAAAGACGACCACCCCACGAGTTTAACTCTCACGAGTCCTCCTTTCTCTCCGATTAAACGAATATTTTCAACGTATAAACTAAATTCAAAATTATCGAGTAATATTCAACGCGTTTAATTGTTCAAAATCAGTGCGTGTACAGTAGATACATATATATATATATATATATATATATATATATGTATATGTATTATGTATTATTATAAATATATATATGTATGTATGTGTGTGTAGATGTATAATACGTAGACACCTACACACCAAAGGACCTGTATGTATTTGGTTGACGGCTTTCCAGGGACGACCCCCCTCCCCTCCACCCCTCACCACTCTCCGCACCATTCGCCGCACCGTCGCTTACAGGGATTTCCTCGAAAATGGCGCTTTTCATTTCGTGATTCTTTACGATTTTTATTAAACGACAAATTTTCATCACGATATACATATATATATTTTTTTTCAAGCCCCCTTTGGTGTTGTCTTTGGTCATCTTCGTCAATTGCAGTCATCGGTCGTCATCTTCGTCGTGTTATCCGCGTCATTTTAATTGCAACGTTCTACTTATGGAAAAATATCGAAAATATGTTTTAACGTTTTTATTATTTTGTTTTTTTCTAGTTGTAATAAAAAAAAAACTTAGTCGTTTGATGATTCATTTTATTTGTAAATATTTGGATTTTTTTTCTTTTGATTTCTAATGGGACACCAGAATCGTGTCGTGTTTTCTCTCTCCATGAAATTTCTCGATTTCGAAAGTTCGATGGCTTCTTTGTTTCGGGTTTACGTGCCTTAAGGCGAATCATGGCTTGAATATTATTCATTATGTTTTGTAATCAGGAAGAAAAGATTTAAACGTGGTTATAAACATTGCTAATACAACGTGATTTAATTAATGACTATTATATTGTTTCTTTTTCGTTTTCTATTGGCGATCGACATACAATTAATATATTGTTAATTATTATATTATATATTATATTACATAATTT